TATGGATTTAAAATCACATTTTTAACCACGGTACAGAACAAGGACGCTTTGGGCCAACATTTTGCATGAATATTTCATTACCCTAAACAGCCAGAAAACAGAAAATACACCTTTAAAAACATGTGCGGCTATTGCCAGCTTCTGACTGAACAAAAACACAGGCATATTTCTTGCAGTGAAGGTTTAGTCCAGTAATTTAGTATTCAGAATTCTGTTTACCATATAGAAATGTCTTTTGGTGCTTTAACATTCAACTTGAGCAAAAGAACAGTTTTAATAGCGTCTACACTAATTTGACTTTTTATTCCAAACATTGTTTATCATACTAGACACTTGTTCCATGGGATTATCTGCCTCTGTGGTTGGACATAATGCCTGGGGGAAACAAAGGCCAACAGTACAATACAACAGCAGTTCCGTGCACCGTCACTAGTGATGAGAAGGAACTGAGGGTGGTGGGTGCTGGTGGTGTCCCTTATACCATGCCATGCATGCACTGATCTAGAGGGCAAGCAGACTATGTCCTCTACAGATATTGCTGAGGGAAAGATTTCTGGAAGCAATGCATGTGGTGAGCACACACATCTAATGAGGAATGGATGTGAGTAAGCACTCAAAAAACTATTTTTTTAGTTACAGTAAAACTCTGATAGTCCGGCATCCAACTGTTCGGCAGTCTTGCTGTAACCAGACGGAGCATAAGGTTGGGGGGGAGGGGAGAAAGCGGGATCATGTTACAGTATGGAGAAGAGCATTTTGCTTCAGTGAAGGGGAAGGAGGATCAGGTACAGCACGGAGGAGAGACACAGAAAGAGGAAAGGGGAGGGGACAGGGAGGAAGATTGTGTCCTGGCCAGCTGTTAAGCCGTGCAGCTGTACCGGACCTCCCGATTCTCCGGCAAATCTGATAATCTAGCACCACCTAGGTCCAAAAGGTGCCGGATTATCCGAAGTCTACTGTACTTTGTTTTCTAACTAACTGTATATATTAATAATCTCTTTAACATTACACACTGGAACTCATTTTAAATTTTTATTTTGCTACTTTAAAATAAATATAATTTAAAAATTGAAGAACGGGCATGCATTCCTACCAGAATGAAACATTTCAGGCATTCTGCTTCTAGTACGGAATGCTAGATTTAATTATTTCTGGTTTTTAACATACAGAAATTATGTCTCAATCTTACCCAAATACTCTGAAAGCCTATCAAAAAGATAGCTCATTTATACCTTTACTTTCTTCCTAGGACAAGCGGATGTGTTAAAACATGTTGAGAAATCACAGACCTCACTGCCAGCTCTCACCTCTATGGAGATGAACAATGTCATTTTCACTAGGTGTAGGCCAAATTGGTGCTTCTAGTTCAGTATCTCCTCGATGATTTGTTTTCTCAATGGGGACGTTGGTGGGCTCAGGTACATACATCTCTGTAAGATAAGATAAATATTTTTTCATAAGTCCATGAAGTCAGCACATTGTGGTAGCCATGAATGGATGCTGGGCTCTTAATTCAGAAAATATTTCTTGTGTATTGGCACCCTTTTAACCCTGTGGATCTTATTGGTGGTTCATCATTAGTGTTATAGAATTTTTTATCTGCTATAACCTATTAATTAACTGAGTACATTTAGAAAGTTATTATTTGTGCAATGGATCTCCCTATCTTTTACTTCATTTCCTAATGTACAGGACACCAGTGATTGCTACTCTACCATCCCAATGTAAAATGAATGGGATAGTCCAGTACTAATTTTTTTAATGAAAATATCTTTTCACCATATAGAATATATCTGGTAAGATTATCTAGTGCAATCTGGTTCATTTGTGCTGCTCTAGTGGCATAAAAGGCCAAGAAAGGAGCTGGATCACTGCAGCTGGTGTAAAGTTGGCAGGACTGGTTCCTTTGCAGCCCCTTATGTAGGGGCATCACAGAGTTAGACACAGGGCATGGCTGAAGCTCTCTGACTGTCAGGTAGCCTTCTGGAGGTTAACAGCTGGTATAGGTAAGAACAATTGTTCTAATAAACTAAGTCTGATTCAGGAAGCTGCACCAAAGTCCCTTGGTTCCATTTGGTGCACAGTTGAGAAACTGTCCCATTACATTTATGTTACAATGAAAAGTACTCATATAAGCCATGTACAGTGTTATTAATATAAATAATTTGAAAAAAGTATCCAGGACTTGTGAAGCAACAGAAACATTAGGCACCTGTGGAGTCTGCAAGGACATCAAAATATTTCCACTCACACTTCATAGATGTATTTCACTGATCTAATAATTTTATGAAAGGTCATTCAGAGAGAGCAATGACAAAACAATTAATCTTTTGAGTTAACATTTCTTCCTTAGGACATGTGAGATTTAAACGATACACCATTGTGCACTGCTTTCCTATCTGCAGTGAGTATTCAATTTCCTGAGTTCTTTTCCTGTGTGTATCTGTTTCTTGTGATATAAGCCACAGCTCCCCTGTTATCCTTTGAATATGTTGCTCAATATAAACCAGCACTCAAAATGGGTACAATAATCTATGCCTGATTACAGCCTTTGAGAACAGTATAACTTGTACATTTTAGCACCATAGTTTTATTACCTGGACACATGGGACAGCAACTTCCCTCAACGTTGATGGGTTCTACACAGGGGAGAGGAGGACAACTGACAGTGGAGCAAAGGGTCTGCCCCTGCAGGCAGTAGCAGTGTGTGCAGCTGTCGATGTCCCAACGTTCCTCATCTGCATATGTTTTTCCACTGAAGTGACATACCACCCTCTTTGGTATTGTATCTTCTGTTGAAAAAAAATTGCCCTGATAAACTTGAGATGGCAAAATATAAACATATAAAATCCAAGAATTAAATAATTTAAAAAATGGCATGAGCCCAATTTCTTAAAAATGTAAACACATGTTACATTAGTCAATGGATATGGAAGTCAGGACAGTAGAATGTAAAAATACCAGATGCTTTGCAAAAATGTTACAATTTTGTTACCAGTCCAGTTTCGTATGTACAAGCAAAACAAATGGGAACATAAAACTTAAGAACAGCGATTTTCTGTTTTTTAAAATATAATGTTTAAGTGTGTTCTTTAGATTTACTATGTTCCCACTCCTAGTTCAGTTATCTTGCCTGTATGCATCAGACCCATTTTGACACTAACAGAGTGTAGTTGTTAGTCAAAATAGTGTTGTAGGACTCTACTTATAAAATACTTAACAGTATTTATAGTATCAAAAAACAAAATATTGCTCAATTTTCAGTTATATTTGGGTTTTAAACTTTGTAATAGAAACAGAGCATTAGAGAATACAGATGACTTTCCAGATCACCTTTAAGAATAGGTTTCACTTGATATGTATCAGAAGCTTATGAGTTTAGGCACTTTTTTATTATTTTAAAATTTTTACACACCATGAAAACTTTGAAAAATTGAAAAACAATTTTAAAATGCTCAGAACCAAACATCAGTATTATCCTACAAAATGATAAAAATAAAAATTGAATTTTGACAAACCAAATGATGTGGCATTACACAGAGTACTCAGAGAGAGTAGATCCCATTTAATAGAATTAATGCAAAGACATTTTTTAATTATTAAAGTAAATGAGTGAGTACCCTAAATGTTTTTTATTTCCTATAGATTTCATCTTAACTAAAACTTGAACGAGGAAAATACTGCTCCATGAGTATTTAGTGCAGTGGAAGGAGGAAAGAAAGAAGCAGTAGAGCATCCATGTGCAAAAGTGCAATCCCATCATCCCCTGATGAACATACAACAGGAATGAATGAGTGGTCATGAAAGATGGGGTGCCCAACTCCAACTGCCTCTTCTGACAGCTACTACTGTCTCCAGTAAAAGACCATGTAAATGTCTGAACCAGTCATTAATCAAATTAAAAAAAAGCCAAAAATAAGCACAAGACAAACAAGAGTCCATCTTCTTGCTCTATTTCTCTGCTATAAGCAAGAAGGGGGTTCTCAATGTTAAATAACCATGTCTCCCCATAAGAGAGGAGAATGCAGAACATGGAAGGTGAGTTTGGGGAAAAAAGCAATAGAAAAATTAGAGGAAAGGAAGGATGTGCTGAACTTGTAACTATACTAAATATGATGTTTAGAAGCAATCATGAAATGGATCTAAAAATAAAAAGCAATTTAAGACATAATGTGGGAACCTCTGTTTTAAAAGTTCCAACAGCAGAGGAAGATACTAGCCCTACAGATTTTGCCAACAAAATTCATTCTCAATCATGGGATAAAAAACTCAGGAGGTCTGTATAGCAAGAGATGCTTTTGGAGAAGTGCTCAGGAAATCATCTAAAAGCGGAACAACAGGAAGCCATATTTTCAAATATAAACAAAGAAAAGCTATTGAAAGCTGCCAAAAAGAGCAAAAGATATTTTATAAATGTTCCAAGGTTTTTGTTTTTCCCAGATGTCTACCCCACCATTCACAGAAATAGCAGCGAGGAAAGAATCTAGAGACGAAAGGAATAAAAAAATTATTATACAGGCTTTTTTATAGCCAAACTTTCAGATTAGGGAACTTAATGTCAGCGGACATGTTCCTACAGTCAGTAAAACCAAATAATTAATCTCACACACTGCAAAAAGCACAAAATAATGGAAAACAACGGAAATGTACTTATTTACAGTCTCCATAAAAACACTTTCCTACAGAAAATATAGCAAGTCATCATTAGTAGACTATGTTTGAGAAGTAACTGAAATCTTGCTTTTTATATTCTGGATTTATTTGTTGCTACAAAAAGGGAAATTAGCAGGTCATACCTGCTATCGAATTTAGGTATTTGCAATTCAAACAGAACAACATTGTGTTGGTATATGGAAATTTGAAAGCAACATTGATTAAGCAGTAACAAATTAAATAAAATTAAGTAGACTCTTTCCTTTCCTAAGAAAAGAGAAATGTAAAAAGTTAACAAGCAACATATGCAGCAAAGAATATCTTAGATATTTAAAACTCTTTCCATTTTAACAATCTAAGATGGTCTTAAGGCTATTAGCCAGGGGATAAAATGGTGTCCTTGGCCTCTGTTTGTCAGAGGCTAGAGAGGGATGACAGGAAACAAATCGCTTGATCATTGTCTTCGGTCCACCCTCTCTGGGGCACCTGGTGCTGGCCACTGTCGGCAGACAGGATACTGGGCTAGATGGACCTTTGGTCTGACCCAGTACGGCTGTTCTTACATTCTTATGTTCTTACTAACTTAGTAGATGAGGACTTTAAAAAAATAGCAATCACATAAGGTTCAATTCTCCATTCCCCTTACAAAGATGTAAATCAGGCTTAACTGTACTGATGTCAACAGATTTTCACTAGCGCAAACAAGAAAAGTAGGAAGCCATGATTTTTAATATGAGTATTCCTCTTTAATTTATAAAATACCAGAGAACAAAATTTCATTTTACATGACTATTTGACAAATTTTGTTAAAATAAAATTAATATGATAACACAGATGTGTAGCTATGGAATTATGATTTTTAATTCCCCTCTTATGTTAGAGTCAAGCTGCACACAATTTTTGTTGAGTTAAAAAAACACCAACAACAGATGCAATATGACGACACTGGTTATCACTTGGGATTTTTATACAGCATAATATACTTCACATTTCTGATTTTCTTTCTCTTCCGTACTAGGAAGTTATTTATCTGAAAACCACATTTGTTACACTACATGTTCTCCTATGATTTTTGGATAACTAGTATATTTTACAAAATTAAACATTCTTTCTACTCATTCTGAACTACAACCTCTAATTCTCAAATTACCTATCAAACTCCTCATTAACCATCTAGGATAGTAGCCCTTTTTGGTATCAGTACAATAAGGCAAGCCAGCCAACATGCAATATTTACTGCTCTCCTCAGTCAAAGCAGAAAGGCCAGATACGCAACCTTCAAAATGTTCAGTGTTCTCAACTCCTGCTCATTTTAATGGGAGTTGAAGTATTGAGCACCTTGCTTCATGAAGCCCAGAAACTGTAGCCAAAATAAGCACAAACAAAAATAATAGAAATAGATGCCAAAAGGAAGGGGAAGATGTTCAAAACTAACAGACTGCCTATGTCTTTAAGAACACTGGACAGAAACATTTCTACTTAGTCCACAAAGGAATCCAAGAAAATAGACACTGCCCAATGGAACTTCACCTCGATTATGCTTTAAATACTGTTCAGAACATAGCTTTACAATCCTAGCGACCCTGTCAAAATAGCTTCTCCATACTGAACTTGAAGACAGCTTACAAAATGCTAGGTGCAGATCCACAAGGACATTCTGCAACTCCGTGGAATAACAAAAGGGATGGATTAAAAATAAAGGTGTGGTGGAAAATCTAGTCAGAATTGCAAAAGGATCCACCAGCTGGCAAAATCAGTGCGATACAGTCTGCTGTATAAGTATTCGGCATGGTGAAGGAGCCTTACCACAGAGCTATTCAACTCAAATTCTAAGTGGATCTTGGAAGAAGGGAGAAATACAGAGTATCTTACCGGGGTCTTGTGTCTTTGTCACATGGCCACAGAGGCTACAACTTGTTATCAGAACATTCTGCAGAGGAACATTCTGCTGAGGGGGTCTCTGAGGGTTCTAACAGATAAAGTCTTAAGAAAATAGTGTGTGCTGGAGGATGTAAAGAGAGGGTTTCCTGTTCTCAGAACCCCTTCAATAAAGTTATTAGGATGCAGAAGACAAGGACACCTGATGAGGAATTGAATTTTCTTATTTCCATTCTGTATTCCTCAAACAACTGTGATCAATTCAATCAAACTTAGTCCAAGTGCACATCTACACTACCCTGCAGTTTGGATTACAGCAGTGCAAATAGCTGTGAGCAAAGTGCTACCTTATAACTCTCATGTATGCGTACTGCAGGTGCAAACTAAAAGATTCCTACTTTGCATTAATATAATTCTGTCTGGAGAGGACTGCATTAATTCAAACTAGGAACCTTTTAGTTTGTGACCGCAGCACCCATACACGAGAGATACAGAGCAGCACTTTGTTACACAATGTTATTTACTCCAAATTGCTGGGCAGTGTAGACATGCCCTAAGACTTCCCTGACTCTATAACTCCAAATGAGATTTCCCTTCCACCCCAATGATGAATCAAGAAAGACTCCACCACTTTGCACAACTAAGCGTACATGCAAATGATGCCCCTTCTTTACATGACCACAACAGAAGATGTACTAAGTTGAAAGTGCATTTAATACAAAGATGCATGTATGTTTTAATACTAGTTTCTTATATTTCTCTGCATGTGTGAAAGGTGAAACTTTGGCTGTGTGTGACAGAAACTGATTAGGATGATGATGGTCCGTTATTACACGTGGCAATAGGAGAGAGTATGCAGACCTCAGGTCCGGCCTTAGGGCAAGGAGAGCAAGGTGGTTGCCTTGGGCCATGCGCCTTCAGGGCCCCGTGCTGCCTGGCGCCCACCCCACCTGCAAGCCACTTGGCCACGTGGTGCAGCCAACCATAACATGCCGCTTTGGGCCCTGCAAACTCTTTGACCAGGCCTGGGAGACCTTAACTATCCTTTTCCAGACTTTCTAGTACTTGTGGACTTTTTTGAAAAAGGAGAAACAAACCCTAAGAGAGGTTTAAAGTGTCTTTGTGTTGGCTGACTCTTAACATCATTTCAACATGAACTATCTGTAACTATATTTTATCATGTTGGAGGAAGATGGCAGACACACCTATGTTGAGGTATAGAGCTTTCCATTATTTGAGCTTCTTGTGATCTTTTATTGAGAAATTAACACCTTCATTGTTTGCGGCAGCTGGACTTACCCAAGAGCATTCCCCTGCTAAATATCGTAAGTGCCTTCTCTTGATCCCAGGAAAGTCTGTTCTGGTTTTAGCAAGATCAAAAATTTTGAAAATCACCATTTTCCTTATATCCATTGTTGTCTCCGGGGGAGGGGAAAAGGACATTGGTAGCATGCCAAAATAACAGCTTAACATAAATATTCTTAGTTTTGCGATCATACTGCAGATGATCTTATACCAGAAATCCTTGGAGCTGCAGGGCCAATTGTGGGAAAGGGACAGCTGGGCTAGTCTTCCTCCAACTACCTCTTAGACATAGCCAATGTGCTGCTGGGGCCATCTCACGCTTTGGGGAAACCAGATGTGGGAGGATATCCCTTAACTCAATGTGGCAAATGGGAAAAAGGAGGAGAGAAAAGAGAGATGGGGCAGGCTTCCTATCACCACTTTCCAAGATGGGCTCCTGGAACCAAATACTACATCTCTCCTCTCCAAATAACACTTTCTCCTGCTGATAGCCAAGGTAATAAGACCAATAGCTCAAGCAGTAGAAATCTGAAGCCCCCCCCCCCGTCTGACTCTGTTCCAACCTGACTGCCACTGGGCTCCAGCCCTGCTGCTACAGGGTTTGGGCTCGGCAGGCTGCTGCCAGCTGGCTGTGGATCCCTGGGGTCCTGCCCTTGGCTCAGCTCTGGCCCTCCTCCGACAACTGTCACTGCTGGCTCCATGCGCCATAGCCCTGACAAACCGCTGCAGGGGAAGAGGGGGGAGAAAGCCCCTTCCGGTCTGGGGTAACAGTAGCGTGTGAGCGCACTGTCTGGAGCCTTTCTCTGTTCTCCCACTGGCCAGATTCTGCCGAATGGGAGCAGCAGAAGGCCTGAAGACAAGTAAGTTTCTCCCACCCCCTCATGCACAGACCTGTACCCCCAACCCCTCTGAGCTGCCACACAGCAGGTGGTTGAAGGTCTGACAGCCATCAAGTGAGGGGGGGGGCTGCCATTTAAAAAACAGTTCATGAGGCGCTGAGATCCATAGGGGGGTGGGACCATGGCAGGATCCGCCCAGGGGTGTGTGTTGGGACTAGGGTGCACCTTGGCCCCTGAGCCACCACTCAGCGGCTGGCTGAAGCTCCTGCAGTTACCATGCCGGCAGCAGGACCCATGTGGCAGGGGGGTAGAGAGGGAAGAGAACGGATTGGGCTGGCAGAGGGGGAAGGAGCCCTGGCTAGCGGACGGGAGGGAGGGAGAAGGGTCCTTGGCTGGAGAGAATGGGGGAGGGAGAAGGAGCCTGAGCTGGTGGAAGGGAGAAGGTGAATGGGCCCTAGTAGGGCATCCCTGCAGCCTGGCCCTCCCCGGTGGTTGGGGAGAGAGCCAGGATTGCCTACCCCTGTGATGGGGGGTTGACGAGTGCAACGAGCAGCTCTTTACTTTATTCCCAAGTAGCAGGACTGTCAACCAGTGTTCCCTCTAAGCTGCAGCAGCATAGCTTCAGGGGTGAGTAATCAGCTCTTCCCCACCCCCAGTCAGTCAGCTCTGTGCTGGGAGTCTTGAGCCTCTGACTGGGTGGGGCTGATTAATCACCTGTGAAGCTGTGCTGCAGCCCAGTTTCGAGGAAACACTGCTGACGATAGAATTTGCTGGGCCCTGGGGAAGCGCTCAGTGCTGCGGCCCCTCTGAATGGGGTAGAGACTTAGGCAGAAGAGGCAGGGCTGGGGGCCAGCCTCCCCGATCCAGCCCTCAGTGCTGCCTGGACTGAGCTGCGAGGGGCTCCAGCAGCGAGTTAAAGGACCCAATGCTCCAGCTGCTACTGCCTCTCCTTCTCCCACCTTCCACCCATCGGCAGCTCTGCCAAGTAGGGAAGAGCAAACTAGTTTGTTTATTTGCTTACCTATACAATAAGGGCAACACTGTCCTTTTCTCAAAACAGGTCTCTCACAGGATACTGGAGGGCAAGATTCAGAGTAGCAGCTAATCACACCATCCATGCAAATACAACTAGTGCAGACATTGGGTTTCCAGGACTCAGCTGTCAGGAAAATATCTCCTTCGTCGTTTTTACAGTAACTGGGCATGCTTTCGTTGCTTGATGAGGAGGGCTGAAGAGGTTCATCTGGAAACATGAATAGACAGATCAGCAGAAGTAAAAAACGGTTACTTACTACATCAGTCAAGACCACAGGACTACCCTTTCGGAACAGACATGCTAGCTGGGAAAATCTCAGAAATGTGTGGCCTGAGTTCCATGCAGAATGAG